TGCTGAAAATTACTTTATTTAATCCATAGGGCTATAGGTGTTGAATTCAAGCTGGAAGAAATCTAAATACAGCACTACATTTGTCATGCTATGGTTTCTGATCAGAGACTTGTGCTAGCTGAATCAGTGGGTGTGGTATTTCCCATGGAGAAAGGAGCAACAGGTGTTGAACTGTTTATGTGATGTCGCTATTAGAGGAGCTATGTGACATGATATGTTTCATTGGCTTCTCTCACCCCCTTTCATGTGTGTACACACAGAGAGATTTCAGTCAAACCTCTTATCTGAATTTGAGTTAATTGAAAATCTGGGACCCAGAGGAATCAATCCCACAGGTCATGTGAAGATTGGCTCTATCCCCTGAAAATTCAGCCTCATGGAGCTCCTATGCTAAATTCTGCAGGGCCTGAGCTTTCATCCTGCTGAGTGTAGGAGCTCCAAAGACTAAATTGCACAAAATCTCAACCCTGCATTGCACAGCTCTGCAGGACCAGAGCTCTTGTTCCAGTGAGCCCACCAGAGCACTAAAGTCTACATAACTGCAAGTCTTACATCACTGAACTTCTAAGCTCCGCAGTACTGGAGTAAACTTCAGGAAGCTCCTAATCACTGCAGGAGTGGAGCTACAGAGCAGTTGCTGAGTTGCTAGTATCATGACCCAGAGTACAGTTCTCAAACAAAGCCTTCTGAAAGTACCAAAGACTGTTGGATACCTGATTGTCTACTGAGCAGTGCAAGGTGTGTTTGTTTTTTTTTTTTTAAAGAAAAAGCCACAGCCTTAATTTCACATGTGAGAATGGTGAGACATACGTCATTCCTAGGTTATAAAGGAGTTGAAGATCACTTGGTACGTTGTTAGGTTATTTTTTTCTTAGATGTGGAATAAACAGTAATAATATGGTCTCTGATCTCCATCTCACAAGATTTAGTTATCATTAAACAGGTAATGCACAAACTAGACACTGTCCTAACATTGTCCTCTCTTCTCTCCCCTCTTTGTCTTTCTCAATCTTTGTTTCAAAATACGTGAACATTGTAAATTCTTTGGTGCATACACTATCTTCTCCCACATACACACATTCATTTGTACAGAGCCTGACACAATCAAATCCTCATTTGTATAGTGAGCTTTAAGTGTTATCACAATACAACTGATAAATAGCAAGCATAATTTTCTTTTCACATTTACAAGGATGAACTCAGTGACACCTAGAACTTGTTATGCTCCAAAATTCAATAGTTAACACTGAATATACTAGTGTTTTGAGGGGGTGCTGAAGGATAAAGATTTTAATTTATGGAGAGAACCAAATGGTCTTCTGATACCTTGGCTAATTTACCTTATTTCTTGTAGACTGTGTTGCTATTTGAAAGAATAAACCTATTCAGTGTGCTTTTTAGGGGTCTTATACAATAAGCAAGCAGATATTAATATTTAAATGAATGTGTCACTAATGCTAACACAACTAAAATTTCACTAAGTTAATTAGGAATTACATAATAGTTATTAAATCACACTTGCAACTGAAATTGAATCACTGGCTTAAGAACAATATTGAAGTAAGTCATCAAGTGGTCAAATTATCAAATTACTACAGCAAGTAATCAAATCACAAGGTTATTATCATAAAGAATTACTTTTTATTAATCCAGTGGCAGGAGACTGAAGGAGGTAGCTATGCGTGCGCACGCACACACACACACACCTACCTTACAGAATAATGAACAGTTCTTTCTGGAAATAGAGGGAAAATAAAATACTTAAAGATTTGGATTTCTTCTGGTTTGTACACTTGGTGTCACATTGCAGGGTTGTGGCTACAGTTTCTGGTGGGTGACTACAGCCACAGATGTAGTAGCTTCCGTGTAGAGCTTGTTCCCAGCATGAGTCTGTGCTGGTTCACAGGGCACCCATGGCTGTGAATCTTCTTGTTACCCTACTGCCTCCTGCATGAGGGATGCTTTCTTGGACTTTACTGGGTATCAGATCTGACACCACCAGGCTGTGAGCCACCCAAGCACTCCCCTCTGGTCTCTGCCATCCTTATTGTTGTCTTGCGATTAACAGTAGTTAGAGCCCTAGTAAATTTCCTCAGCACCTCAGAAATATCAGGTATGCTTTCCCCAAAGAAACAGTGCATGCACCAGTTTCTATGATTCAACTCAGGATCAGCTTCTTATGTAATGCCATAGCACTGAGATATATTTCTTTATCTTACTATATCCATTAGAAATGTGATAGTAATTTCTAATGTGTATATAGTACATTATATACTATATACCATAGTTCATCCATTTGTGAGTCTATTTGTTCAAGAGCTAGGTAAGAGCTAGGACCACCAAATTTGCTATACAGTTTCCTCTTATAACGTAAAGCAAGGTCAGGATTTGATTGTGGCAGGACAATGGGATGTGCCTGGAATGCAATTGTTTCTCATAAAATGGAAAAGGAGGGGGTCTGGCAGGAGGGACAGCTATATTTCAGAATGACCTCAGGGAGGCAGCAAGGGACCAGCGATGGGGGCTGGGACAGCTATAACCCCACTGGGCCAGCAAAGGGCAGGGGTGGAGAAAGGTACGGCTATCTAGTATATATTTCAGAAAGTTTGTCTGTGTGTCTAGCTGTCCTCCAGCCAGTACATACATGCACCCCACTCCCGACTGTGCCAGCTGCAGTTGTAGGGACCATGGACCGGCACTTCTCACCTGACTTCAACATGCCGTGGTGAGAGAGGTCTGGGGTTGTCCCCTCTCCCTGGGGCAGCCTGCATACTGTACCTCTCATCCCCCAGACCACCGATTTAAATGAAGAAAACCAAAACTTATATAAGGACCTGAACAAGGTCGGGTAATCTTCTATTTACTCAGATGCAAGTGAGATTGAGAAAGGATAATGGAAGCAAAAGATTGCATAAGAAAAATCATAACATGCTTTTAGAGGCTGAACTTAACAGGCTAACTGCCTCTCTAAAGTAGTTTGTCTCACCCCAAAAGTCATTTGCAGTATTTCAACCAAGGTTGGTTGAGATCCTGTTTTCATGAAACCTGTGTTTCAGTTCTGCTTTGATTCAGACTTTAGAGCATTTTTTAGTATGTGTACACAAGTCTCTGCATAGTATCTGTTCATACATTTTGTAGTGATTTTAATGATCATTGTGACCCTGGATTTCATCTGAGACCTCACATGACATTCATTAGTCATGGGAATGTAAATGCCAGAATCAGGTAATTCTTGTAACCTCCTTGCTTGTTGGCTTTGAGGGGCTTCATATGTGTGATGGGGGTGGACTAGGCTCAGAGGACCCTTACTGGAGGTCTCGGTGTCCTGCTACGCTCGTCCCAAGAAAGGAGCAGTAGAGAGGTCCTCCAAGCAGGCTAGAGTGGCTGCAGGGAGCAGCCAATCAGGATCCCCACAGGCCTATATAAAAGGACCTGCTGGTTCAGTGTGAGTTCAGCCTGCTAACAGCTACTGAGGAAGCAAAAGGTGCTGGTGGTTGGCTTCAGGGTCTGCATGGGCCAAAGCAGGTAGTTACTGGGGGAGCAAGGAAGGAACTAGCTGGCTGCTGGGACTCAATGAAGGTGGGCTATGGGAAAGTGGCCTTAAAGGGTCCCTGTGTTTGTACCTAGAGCAGTAGGTGGGACAGGGGCCTAATGAGCAGTCCGTGGGGGAAATGGCTGGGTTCCAAGGAAGGGAATTAGAACTGTGACACCCTAGGGAAAGGGGCTACGCTGGGGCTGACTCAGTGGAGAGCAGTGGTCAGTGATGTGGCTCGGCAGAAGGGCTTGAGTCAGAGGCCCCAAGGAAGAAGCTCTTGGGGTGCTGCTCAATTCCAGGGTAGGAGCCTGGCAACCTAGCTGGAGCAAGCGAGGGAATCCTAGTGAGCCCTATTGGACAGGTCAAAGACTAAGCCTAGAGAGGGTTGTGCAGAAGGACACAGCAACTGAGCATTTCACAATGGGCTCCGTTGGACTTTTTAAAAAGACTGATCCCCAAGAGGGACATTTTGGACTGTGTATCCCAGCGGGGTCTTTTCTGTGTCTCACATGGACTGCGTGAGACTTGGCTGGAGGGTTGAGTACACAAAGACTCACCTGACAAGTGCAGCAGCTGAGGCGGGCACTATGAATGGAGGAAACTGAGGAAGAAGCTGCAGGCACGCACACACTCAACTGGGGCTCTCACGAGAGGTGTGCACACCCATTACACTGTGTCAGTCTCTGGGAATGGGGCCAATCGCTTGAGCTGGAGGAGCTGAAGGACCAAAGTATTACCTCTTCCTCCCTGAGATGGCCTGCCCAAGGAGGCTAAGAGGGGCACTTGCTTCAGATGATGTTGGTGGCCTGAGAGCCCTCAGGCTCCCCCTTTGACTTAACTCCTATAAGGAGCAACTCTCCCACTTACTCGGTCTTAGGCCCCTACCTCCATAATTTTCGGGCCAGCTAGTTGGTTGAGACATCTGGAAACAGTCAGTGTGGCCCAGTCCTCATTAATGTGGGCAGGCTTCAGGCTGTGGCTAGTGTGGAAAGTCCCACTTGGGATGACATAGTGTGTGGGAAGGTCACTGTTGCAACCGTGTGCTGTCTGGTCCCGCAAAACACCAAATCAGACGTAATGTAGAGCTCACTTTAAACTGCCTCAGCCTTCTGTCTGGGCCCACTCTTGTCATCAGTGGTCAGCATAGGCCTAAGTAGTCTCTTAAAATTAGCCCACTGCCTAGTCATGATCTTGTCACTCACCCCTACATCCCCTTGCACACTGGGAATAGATGTCACTGGCCTGTGACAAGTTGTCACATGACATCATGCATCAAGCAAACTTAGGGAAATAAAGGGTGGGCTTCCACTAGATAAAAGATTGACTTGCATCAATAGCATTTGTCCTAGTAGCAAAAGACTTTTTTTTTTTCTTAGCAGCATCTGCTCCATTTAACACAAAACAATAAAGTTTAAACGCTGCCAAAATTCTCACTTGGGTTATTTCTCTTACAGGGGGTGTTCTGCTCATATGCATGTGAGGTTTTGCCTTCACTGCGAGTTCTTCCAGCAGAAAATACACTAATGAGACTCGTTAGCATATTTTCTGCTGTTTCTTTTTGTGCAAGGGATTTTTATGCAAAAAGAAGCAGTGTGGACAGGTTTTTTTTGGGTGCAAAAACCCTGTTTTGCACAAGATCCTGGTGCCTGTCCTGTAGAGGCATAAGGATCTTGTGCAAAACAGGGTTTTTGCACCCAAAAAAAACCTGTCCACACTGCTTCTTTTTGCATAAAAATCCCTTGCACAAAAAGAAATGGCAGAAAATAGGCTAATGAGATCACAATTTATACTATTTTCTCTCTCTCTCTGATAAGGGAAAGTTTCAACCAGTGTATACAATTAAATGTTTAATAAATCATACAAAGTCAGGTATGTTTTCAGATTAAGAAGTTGATTCACACAGCTAGGCTATGGCTATGTCTAGACTGCAGGCTTCTTTCGAAAGAGCCTCTTTCAAAAGATCGCGTCTAGACTGCAGGCGGATCTTTCGAAAGAGAAATCCGCTTTTTCGAAAGAGAGCACCCAGCGAGTCTGGATGCTCTCTTTCGAAGACGGCCTCTTTACATTGAAGAACGCCTTCTTTCGAAAGAGGAACTTTCGAAAGAAGGCGTTTTTCCTAGTGAAACGAGGTTTACCGCCATCGAAAGAAAAGCCGCGTTCTTTCGAAATAATTTCGAAAGAACGCGGCTTGAGTCTGGACGCAGGGGAAGTTTTTTT